TACCTTATCAACATGTAACAACTATAAATTACCTTATCTACCTGTAACAAATATAAATTACCTTATCTACCTGTAACAAATATAAATTACCTTATCTACCTGTAACAACTATAAATTACCTTATCTACCTGTAACAAATGTAAACTACCTTATGTACCTGTAACAAATGTAAATTACCTGTCTAGAGACGAGTAAGATATCTTTGTACATGTACAGGTTGTAAATCTTACCTGTGTACATGTACAGGTTGTAAATCTTACATGTGTAAGTGTGACTATTTACAAGATCTCTCACGACTCTATTTATCTCCACAGCACTGCTTTGATTGGTCAACAACATCACGTGACGCTCTGGGTTAACCGCTGCAGATCAGATGAGGCTTGTGTGTGCGGTCCACTGTGACCTGTGTGCTGATGGTGGGAGTACTTCCGGTCTCCGTTTTGTCAGTAAGTTTCTCGTTTACTTCCGGTCACCGGTTTTGTCAGTAAGTTTCTCGTTTACTTCCGGTCTCCGGTTTTGTCAGTAAGTTTCTCGTTTACTTCCGGTCTCCGGTTTTGTCAGTAAGTTTCTCGTTTACTTCCGGTGTTTTAAATCGATTTTACTTTAAAAACTTTCGTTACTCGGCGACTATTGGTCAGATGTATAAACAATTCTCTCCATTAAACCAGCATCATCATACGGTTTACTAACAGAACAGCCACATTTGGCTCACATTGACCCCCCCCCCCGGGGGGGGGGGGGATCACACAAGCTGCATTAGAGTTGACCTGGCTAGTGGGGTGGTAGTAGACATAAGCTGCTGTAGACAATCATCAGTGGCCCGACCCCCCTCCCCCCTTCCTCACTCTTAACCTGGGGGTGCGTCACATGTATGGTAACCTCATGTCATAAATTTAGCTCATTTTGTTCAGTCCCCCAGCCTTGTATTATCGCTGGCACATCATAAGCTCCCTCTGTTCATACTCCCGACTTGTAATAAGCTCTCAGCGAAAATTAAGCTCCTTCCAAATTTTAAGCTCCTTTTCCACACCTAGATCTCCCCATAAAATCCTTACCGTATAGCAAGCTCCTGCTGTGCCATATTAAGCTCCCCCTCCAGTTTTGTAGCACATTAAGCTCATGTAGTTATGCTAATATTTGTCGTATTAACTTGTAAACTTGTTACGAGCATTTAGTCGAGGTGCCTTATTGTCCAGATCATTTTGACGAGAATCAATTTGTCGTATTGTCTGGGCCGTATTGTTCGGGGGCCGTTTTGTCACTTGTCATTTTCCAGTGGAACAGGTCCAGCTGTAGCAGATATTTCCGCCACAGCACACAACGAAAGCTAACTCTGTAATTCCCCGTCAATCGATGGCTCCAAAAGAAAAGGGCAGCCAAGCGAGGCAAGTCTGTGGCCGAATTTCCTGGAGGCGTTAGAGCATATGTCGCACGCGGAGCTAAGCACTGGTCGGCTGGGGTGGTGTTGTCTTTGGTGTAATCAGCCCAGCGGCCGGTCCCTGGGGGGGGGGGGGATGACAGCACAGCCATGATGGCAGGCGTGAATTGTCACGTTCACAGGTGTCATGGTAACGTCATCTTGTATGGTGTTGAAAGTGATTCAAACGACATTTTGTTTCGTTGGGCGTGTCTAACACCTCCAGATGTGTGTAGGTGGGCGTGTCTAACACCTCCAGTTGTGGTTATGTGGGCGTGTCTAACACCTCCAGATGTGGTTAGGTGGGCGTGTCTAACACCTCCAGTTGTGGTTAGGTGGGCGTGTCTAACACCTCCAGTTGTGGTTAGGTGGGCGTGTCTAACACCTCCAAATGTGGATTTTAAAGAATGCTAGCAGTTTTTTAGGGATGGAGCGATACCCTTTTGCGGGCGTGTATTTTCTCCATGAGATGAATGTAAAAACTATAACGTGCGTGGTCGTGGGAACAAGTGCCTCTGTCTGAGACCAACATCCAGTCAGTATTAGTTTCTATGACACCCAAATGGCTGAAACAGAGGCGTAGCGAGGGCGGGACGGGGGTGCGGGCCGCACCGGGTGACACCATTTAGGGGGGTGACACCATGGCTGAAGAGTCGTCTATTTCGTACGTCTATGTCATACGTCTATGTCGTACGTTTCTCTTGTAGATGCTGGAAGTATGAGCACACACACACACTAGTTGTGTTAAAACCAAGTCATTGGCATGAAAAAATATCAAGAACATAGTTTAAAGATAGTTTTGTCTCTAACGTTAGTTAGTTGTTTGTAAAATGTTGACATGAAAAACGCCATTAGCTAAACTAATTTGTCCAGGATTATTTACAAATTGCAGATCTGCGAATCAAACAATTTTTAAAAATGCGTTTATTCCTAATCTGCTCTGATAGATCTGCAGAGGCTTTCAGAAAACAGAAGTTTACAAAGGCTGACAGGTCTAAAGCCACGTTTAAAATCTTTAAGCTTAAATCCCTTGAGCTCCGTGCAGCCTCCTTTATGCCAGACATTGAGTTGAAAGGAATGTCGTATGTCGTATGTCGTATGTTGTATGTCGTATGTCGTATGTCGTATGTCGTATGTTGTATGTCGTATGTCGTATGTCGTATGTCGTATGTCGTATGTCGTATGTCGTATGTTGTATGTTGTATGTCGTATGTCGTATGTCGTATGTCGTATGTCGTATGTTGTATGTCGTATGTCGTATGTCGTATGTCGTATGTCGTATGTCGTATGTCGTATGTCGTATGTCGTATGTCGTATGTCGTATGTCGTATGTCGTATGTCGTATGTCGTATGTCGTATGTCGTATGTCGTATGTCGTATGTCGTATGTCGTATGTCGTATGTCGTATGTCGTATGTCGTATGTCGTATGTCGTATGTCGTATGTCGGATGTCGTATGTCGTATGTCGTATGTCGTATGTCGGATGTCGTATGTCGTATGTCGTATGTCGGATGTCGTATGTCGTATGTCGTATGTCGTATGTCGTATGTCGTATGTCGTATGTCGTATGTCGTATTGGTATGTCGGATGTCGTATGTCGTATGTCGTATGTCGTATGTCGTATGTCGTATGTCGTATGTCGGATGTCGTATGTCGTATGTCGTATGTCGGATGTCGTATGTCGTATGTCGTATGTCGTATGTCGTATGTCGTATGTGGTATGTCGGATGTCGGATGTCGTATGTCGTATGTCGTATGTCGTATGTCGTATGTCGTATGTCGTATGTCGTATGTCGTATGTCGTATGTCGTATGTAGGGAGATCGTGGCTGGACTTCCGGTCTGACACTGCGCATGCTCCGGCAGGAGGTTCCGTCATTTGATTTCAAACTTGTCATCTTTCTGCTGGATGGCTTGTCGTGGTGGTGGTGGTGTGGGGGGGGGGGGGGGGGGGGGGGGGGCATGTATCAGCTACACAAGTTGTAAGATATTCAAACAATTTCTACACGACGAAAATATAAGGAAAAAATAAATCAGACCATACAAATAAAACAGAACTTATTACTTTACCGTCTTTAAACACGAACCCGATTGGTTAAAAAATACAAAACTAAAAACTGGAGATTGAAAACTAAATAACAGCGGTTTTATGTGAAGGTCTTCGGCAGATTGTGCAGTACCTGGATCTAAAAGAGGGATTAAGGATCACGGCTATCTTAATTCCTTCATTACTGCTTTTTAAAAATTTCAAAGATATTTTTTTTATATTTAATCTGCCGGCATTACGCTGCATTATTGGCAGATTATTTTTTCGATTATTTTGTCTCCGATGTTCTAATACTTGCAACAATGGTACGCGCCAAATTTTCTTCTTCTTTGTTCTTAATTCTAGTGTTTGAAGGGATCCCCTCCAACACAATTAAGTATACGTGCCAACCGGTTATGTGCCATATAGGCCGATGACTCCGATTTCAGCCTCCTTTTCTTTTTGGATTTGTTTTCATAGCCTTTGTCCAACCAAGAACAAACTACAAGGCAGCAGTTCTTTGATTTTGGAGTTGTCTCTCCTAGAAGAGTGGCTGTCCCCAGCTAACGAGCCTCTTCTGCCCCAGTGTTCTAACTCGAGACTTTTTGGTTTAGCAGCCATGAACTTTACCTATCCGACCACTCAGACCCCCCCCCCCCCCCCCCTCGCTCTGTCGCAAACTTGCAACCGTTGAATACGCCGAAATATTAAAACACATTTTCTCCTAGTTGTAAAAACATTTTCTGACGTAAATCAGCTTCTAATTAGTTTCTCTTCTTTCTTGTCTGTCACGAGCTAATGGTGTCATCCTATTGGTGACTGTAATGGTGTCATTCTATCGGTAACTATAGCGAATTTTTTTGGTGTCATCCTATCGGTAACTATGGCGACTTTTTCTTTGAGAATTTTAATTTAAAAATTGATCAGGTGATCGGATGAAGATTGGCTAGACAAGGCTGGATTAGACGGAGGTCTCTGGGTAATTTGATCCTGAAACAGACGGGAGAGAAAAATGATGGTTTAATGGGACACAACATCAAGTTTCATGACTATACAATCATCTGGTTAAAGTTAGTAAGACACAATATGAAGTTTCTTGACTACACAATCATCACACAATCATCTGGTTAAAGTTAGTGGCACACAACATCAAGTTTCAACTGGTTAAAGTTAGTGCACACAACATCAAGTTTCTTGACTACACAATCAGCTGGTTAAAGCTACCGACTGGTTACCGACTGGTTATTGGGGGCTGGTGTTAAATCCATAAGGTTGGCAGATTTTAACTAGGTTAAAATGGTTAGATTGTTGTTTTCATGTCTGACTTGCGTGGGTGGCCGGCAAATGGCCAGAGTTGGTTGAGTTAGTGGCAGGGTGAGCAAACCTGTCCCCGGGGGTGGGGCATGCAATATAGAACGTTTCAATCATCCGTTTGCTGCAGTCTCGCATTTCCTAATTGTATTTGACCATTTTTGTTCTGGTAGGTAACTGGTTGCATAGCAACACTGGAACTGGTGACGTAGCTTTCAAACTGAAAGTATTGGTGACTTCAAATGTTACGACTAATGGTGACATTAAATGTTATGACTAATGGTGACTTTAGAAGTTACAACTAATGGTGACTTCAAATGTTACGGCTAACGGTGACTTCAAATTATACGACTAATGGTGACTTCAACGACTAATGGTGACTTCAAATGTTACGACTAATGGTGACTTCAACGACTAATGGTGACTTCAAATGTTACGACTAATGGTGACTTCAAATGTTTACGACAAATGGTGACTTTAAATGTTACGACTACTGGTGACTTCAACGACTAATGGTGACTTCATATGTAACGACTAATGACTCCAATCATTTACTCGGCCACAACTAAATTTTTAAAGAAAATCTTCAACTCCAACTTTCAATTACCAACAGCCCCAATACCTCGGTGCAAGCCGTGTCCCCCAGCAAATGTTGACATTCCCTCAGCACCCGTGGGGCACGAACCCAAATTTAGCCCACAACCCCCGGCACCCCGGCACCCCTGCCCCCCATCATGTCCCTCCCACCACCACGTTCCCCCCACCATGCGCCCCCCCCCCACTACCATGTCCCATCCCACCCCACCA